ACCCAGTAGTGGAATTGGTGGATCAAATGGTGGTTCTATTTTTAGTTGTCTTTTTTTTTTTTTAAGACAGAGTTTTCTTCCTCTTGCCCAGGCTGAAGTGCAATGGCACAATCTTGGCTCACCACAACCTCCGTCTCCTGGGTTCAGGCGATTCACCTGCTTCAGCCTCCCGAGTAGCTGGGATTACAGGCATGTGCCACCATACCCGGCTAATTTTTTTTTTTTTTTTAGTAGAGGTGGGGTTTCTCCATGTTGGTCAGGCTGGTCTCGAACTCCAAACCTTAGGTGATCTGCAGAACTTGGCCTCCCAAAATGCTGGGATTACAGGTGTGAGCCACCACGCCCGGCCCTATTTTTAGTTCTTTAAGGAATCTCCACACTTTTCCATAGTGGCTGTATAGTTTACATTCCCACCAGCAGTGCAGAAGTGTTCCCTGTTCATTGCATGCATGCCAACATCTACTGTTTTTTGATTTTTTTTATTATGGTCTTTCTTGCAGGAGTAGATGGTATCACATTGTGGTTTTGATTTGCATTTCCCTGATTTGCATTTCCCTGATTGTTAGCGATGTTGAGCATTTTCTCATATGGTTGTTGACCATTTGTATATCTTCTTTTGACAATTGTCTATTCGTGTCCTTAGCCCACTTTTTTTTTTTTTTTTTTAATTGTACTTTGGGTTCTGGGGTACATGTCCACATCCTCCATCTCCACTCCTCCTTCCCCCCCATCACCTACATTAGGTGTTTCTCCCGGTGTTATCCCTCCCCATCTTCCCCAACCCCTGCTGTCCCTCCCCTCCCCTCCACCCCCGTCACCTAGCCTAGTAGTATTGTTCCCTTTCCTGTGCCCAAGTGTTCTCATTGTTCATCACCTGCCTGTGAGTGAAAACGTGGTGTTTGGTTTTCTGTTCTTGTGTCAGTTTGCCAAGAATGATGGTTTCTAGATTCATGCATGTCTCTACAAAGGACAATAACTTGTTTTTTACGGCTGCATAATATTCCATGGTGTATAAGTGCCACATTTTCTTTGTCCAGTCTATCATCGATGGGAATTTGGGTTGGTTCCAGGTCTTTGCTATTGTAAACAGTGCCACAATGAACATATGTGTGCATGTGGCTTTATAATAGAATGATTTATAATCCTTTGGGTATATACCCAGTAATGGGATTACTGGGTCAAATGGAATTTCTATTTCTAGATCCTTGAGGAATCGCCACACTGTCTCCCACAATGGTTGAACTAATTTACACTCCCACCAACAGTGTAAAAGTGTTCCTTTTTCTCCACATCCTCTCTAGCATCTGTTGTCTCCAGATTTTTTAACGATTGCCGTTCTAACTGGCGTGAGATGATATCTCAATGTGGTTTTGATTTGTGTTTCTCTAATGACCAATGATGATGAGCATTTTTTCATGTTTGTTGGCCACAAAAATGTCTTCTTTTGAAAATTGTCTGTTTATGTCTTTCGCCCACTTTTGAACGGGTTTGTTTTTTTTCTTGTAAACCTGTTTTAGTTCTTTGTAGATTCTGAATATTAGCCCTTTGTCAGATGAGTAGATTACAAAAATTTTTTCCCATTCTGTTGGTTGCTGGTTCACTCTAATGATTGTTTCTTTTGCTGTGCAGAAGCTCTTAAGTTTAATTAGATCCCGTCTGTCTATTTTGGCTTTTGTTGCCAGTGCTTTTGGTGTTTTAGTCATGAAGTCCTTGCCTGTGCCTATGTCCTGGATAGTTTTGCCTAGGTTTTCTTCTGTGATTTTTATGGTGTGTGTTCTTATGTTTAAATCTTTAATCCATCTGGAGTTAATTTTGGTGTAAAGTATCAGGAAGGGGTCCAGTTTCAGCTTCCTGCATTTGACTAGCCAGTTTTCTCAACAGTATTTATTAAACAAGGAATCCTTTCCCCATTACTTGTTTTTGTCCAGTTTGTCAAAGATCAGATGGTTGTAGATGTGTGGCGTTGCTTCCGAGGCCTCTGTTCTGTTCCATTGGTCTATATCTGTTTTGGTACCAGTACCATGCTGTTTTGATTACTGTAGCCCTGTAGTATAGTTTGAAGTCAGGTAGCATGATGCCTCCAGCTTTGTTCTTTTTGCTCAGGATTGTCTTGGCTATGCAGGCTCTCTTGTGGTTCCATATGAAATTTAAAGTCGTTTTTTACCGTTCTGTAAAGGTCAATGGTAGCTTAATGGGGATAACATTGAATCTATAAATTACTTTGGGCAGTATGGCCATTTTCACAACATTGATTCTTCCTAACCATGAGCGTGGAATGTTTTTCCATCTGTTTGTGTCCTCTCTTATTTCCTTGATCAGTGGTTTGTAGTTCTCCTTGAAGAGATCATTTACATCCTTTGTTAGTTGTATTCCTAGGTATTTTATTCTTTGTAGCAATTGTAGATGGGAGTTCACTCATGATTTGGCTCTCTGTCTGTTGTTGGTGCATAAGAATGCTTGTGATTTCTGCATATTGATTTTTGTATCCTGAGACTTTGCTGAAGCTGCTTATCAGCTTAAGGAGGTTTTGGCTTAGTCCACTTTTTGATGGGATTTATTTTATTCTTTTTCTTACTGATTTGAGTTTGTTGTAGATTCTGGATATTAGTCCTTCATCAGATGTATAGATAGTGAAGACTTTGTCCCACTCTGTAGGTTGTCTGTTTACTCTGCTGACTGTTCCTTTTGCCATGCAAAAGCTCTTTAGTTTATTTACGTCCCAGATATTTATCTTTGTTTTTATTGTTTGCTTTTGGGTTCTTGGTCATGGAATCCTTGCCTAAGCCAATGTCTAGAAGGGTTTTTTCCAGTGTTGTCTTCTAGAATTTTTATAGTTTCAGGACTTAGGTTTAAGTCCTTAATCCATCTTGAGTTGATTTTTGTATATGGTGAGATGAGGATCCAGTGTCATTCTCCTATGTGTGGCTAGCCAATTATCCCAGCACCGTTTGTTGAAAAGGGTGTCCTTTCCCCACTTTGTGTTTTTTTTTTTTTTTTTGAGACGGAGTTTCACTCATGTTATCCAGGCTGGAGTGCAATGGCGCAATCTCGGCTCACCGCAACCTCCGCCTCCTGGGTTCAGGCAATTCTCCTGCCTCAGCCTCCTAAGTAGCTGGGATTACAGGCATGCACCACCATGCCCAGCTAATTTTTTGTATTTTTAGTAGAGACTGGGTTTCACCATGTTGACCAGGATGGTCTCGATCTCTTGACCTCATGATCCACCCGCCTCGGCCACCCAAAGTGCTGGGATTACAGGCTTGAGCCACCGCGCCCGGCCCCCCACTTTGTTTTTGTTTGCTTTGTCCAAGATCAGTTGGCTGTAATTATTTGGGCTTATTTTTGGGTTCTCTATTCTGTTCCATTGATCTATATACCCATTTTTATACCAGTACCATGCTGTTTTGGTGACCATGGCCTTATAGTAGTTTGAAATCAGGTAGTGTGATGCCTCCAGATTTGTTCTTTTTGCTTAGTCTTGTATTGGTTATATAGGCTCTTTTTTTGGTTCCATATGAATTTTAGAATTTGTTTTTTCTAATTCTGTGAAGAATAATGATATTTTGATGGGGAGTGTGTTGAATTTGTAGATTGCTTTTGGTGGTGTAGTCATTTTCACAATATTGATTCTACCCATCCATGAGCATGGGATGTGTTTCCATTTGTTTATGTCATCTTTGATTTATTTCAGCAGTGTTTTTTAGTTTTCCTTGTAGAGGTCTTCTGCCTCCTTGGTTAGATATATTCCCAAGTATTTTATTTTATTTTATTTTGCAGCTATTGCAAAAGAGGTTGAGTTTTTGCTTTGATGCTCTGCTTGGTTGCTGTTGGTGTGTAGAAGAGCTACTGATTTGTATACATTAATCTGGTATCCGAAAAACTTGCTGAATTATTTTATCAGTCCTAGGAGCTTCCTGGAGGAGTCTTTAGGGTTTTCAAGGCAAACAATCATATCATCAGCAGACAGTGACAGTCTGACTTCCTCTTGACCGATTTGGATATCCTTTCTTTCTTCTGTCTGATTGCTCTGGCTAGGACTTCCAGTACTGTGTTGAAGAGGTGTGGTAAGGGTGGGCATCCTTGTCTTGTTCTAGTTCTCAGCGGAAATGCTTTCAACTTTTTCCCATACAGTATTATGTTGGCTGTGGGTTTGTCATAGATGGCTTTTATTACATTGAGATATGTCCCTTGTATGCCATTTTTGCTGAGAGTTTTAATCATAGTGATACTGGATTTTGTTGAATGCTTCATCTGCATCTATTGATGATAGCATTTTTTAAAAAAAATTTTGTTTATGTAGCATATCACATTTATTGACTTGTATATGTTAAACCATCCCTGCATTCCTAGTATGAAGCCCACTTGTTCATGGTGGATTATCTTTTGATATGCTGTTGGATTTGGTTAGCTAGTGTTTTGTTAAGAATTTTAGCATCTATGTTCATCCAAGATGTCAATCTGTAGTTTTCTTTTTTGGTTATGTCCTTTCCTGGTTTCGGTATTAGGGGGGTGCTGGCTTCATAGAAGCATTTAGAACTTCTTTATCTTGTGGAATAGTGTCAATGGGATTGGTACCAATTCTTCTTTGAATGTCTGGTAGAATTCTGCTGTGAATCCATCTGGTCCTGGATTTTTTTTTGTTCTTGGTAATTTTTAAATTACCATTTCAATCTCAATGCGTATTTTTGGTCTGTTCAGGGTGTCTAATTCTTCCTGATTTAAGCTGGGAGGGTTGTATTTTTTCAGGAATTTATCCATTTCTTCTAGGATTTCTACTTCATGTGTTTAAAGATGTTCACGGTAGCCTTGAATGATCTTTTGTATTTCAGTGTTGTCAGTTGTAATTTTTCCTGTTTCATTTCTTAATGAGGTTATCTGGATTTTCTCTTTCCTTTTCTTGGTTAATTTGGCTAATGGTCTCTCAATTTTATTTATCTTTACAAAGAACCAGATTTTTGTTTCTTTTATGTTTTATTTTTTATTTTTTGGTCTCAATTTCATTTAGTTCTGCTCTGATCTTTGTTATTTCCTTTCTTCTGCTGGGTTTGGGTTTGGTTTGTTCTTGTTTCTCTAGTTCCTTCAGGTGTGACCTTAGAATCTTAGGTTGTGCTCTTTCAGTCTTTTTCATGTAGGTGTTCAGGGCTGTGAACTTTCTTAGCATCACCTTTGCTGTATCCAAGAGGTTTTGATAGGTTGTGTCATTATTGTCATTCAGTTTGAAGAATTTTTTTTTTTTTTTTGAGACGGAGTTTTGCTTTTGTTACCCAGGCTGGAGTGCAATGGCGCAATCTCGGCTCACCGCAACCTCCGCCTCCTGGTTTCAGGCAATTCTCCTGCCTCAGCCTCCTAAGTAGCTGGGATTACAGGCACGCACCACCATGCCCAGCTAATTTTTTGTATTTTTGGTAGAGACGGGGTTTCACCATGTTGACCAGGATGGTTTCGATCTCTTGACCTCATGATCCACCTGCCTCGGCCTCCCAAAGTGCTGGGATTACAGGCTTGAGCCACCGCGCCCGGCCCAGTTTGAAGAATTTTTAAATTTCCATCTTGATTTTCTTTTTGACCCAATGCTCATTCAGCAGCAGGTTATTTAATTTCCATGTATTTGCATTATTTCGAAGGTTCCTTTTGGAGTTGATTTTCAGTTTTATTCCACTGTTGTCTGAGAGAGTGCTTGATATAATTTCAATTTTCTTAAATTTATTGAGGCTTGTTTTATTGGCCTCTGCAAGTTTCATTGTTTGTCTATATTTGGTTTGGTTTTGGAAATAAGTATAATAAAACACAGTCCCTGCTCTTAAAGTTTATATAATCAGTTAAATAGCTAATTTCAATATAATGTGGTATGGAAGAAAAACATATTAAATTGTGCTGTGTTTAAACTTTCAGAATTGAAGTGTTAATTTCCTTACTAAAGTGACCCTTCTAATGCAGCAGGAAGACTGTTCTCATAATGAAAAGATAGTTTGCATTTGATTATTTGGCTTTTCTTTATAGTTTACCGTGCATAAATATATCCGTAAACATGAATTAGTATAATTTGTCCTGTTTTGGGGCAGCATCTACATTACAGCACTGGCTGAGGACTGGGCTGAGCGTGGCTCCAAGGGAATCCAGCCTTGGGCTGTAGGTGGCAATGTTGGGCAGGCAGATGAAGGCTCCGGGATGTCTGCCTAGTCATGGGAACTGAGCCGTGGGCAGAATTCTAGTCCTGCATGAATTAAGGCTGGTCCCCGAATCAAGTGGAAGAAACAGAACAGACTGGAGGAGGAGGAGCGGGGAGGCCCATGATGAGAGCCGCTGCTGTTTATTTAGCGCTGTGTACTGAGCTCTGTGCAGGGCACCTAACAGCTTAGCTCGCAGCAAATCAGTTCCTACGACCTGTGCTCCCTACCTTTTTTTTTTTTTTTTCCAAATTGCGAAGAGAAAGCTGGAATGTGGCAGAACCAGGATTCTATCCCAGTTTGGCTGTTCTCACAACTCTGCTCTGAATCATCAGGTGACAACAGTGACACTGGAATTGGCAGTTGCTGCTGTTCGGGTGCAGCTGGTACCTGCCCTACAGGATGGCGCCTGGGCCTGGCTAGCCGTGGTCCCAGTGCGACGCTGTTTCATCCCCAGACCGCTCTGTGCTGCAGTTGCGCAGGGTGGAGGCTGTGCTGTCCATGCCCCAGGCTCTTCTGCCTGGTGGTGTGGGCGACGCTGCTGGCCTTCATCCCTCTGCTTGTTTCAGCAGACACCTCCTCCTGCTCTGATAGACACCTGCCTTGGGGCATCCCCCCATTCATTCCTTCATGGAAAGCCAGCCTATTTTACTTTGTGGTCATCTGTGTAATATTTCTTCATCGCATCGACAGCAGTTTGTAACTGGGGGATGGTCTGATTGTTATCTCTCTGCCCTGTGGAACTATGAGCCTCCTGAAAGCAGGGGCCACGTCTGAGCTCACGGTGGTATTCTCATAGCTTTACATGGCACCTGACATCCAGAAGCCTTTCCTACCTACGGGATGAATGAATACGTGATGACTTCCTTAAACTAATTTTTGTCTCTTACTTCTTCCTAGTTGCCAGGTGGTATAAGACAGCAGGGTTATGATCTAATATATATTTGATGTGGTAAGAAACTAAAGACTTGTTGGGAGCTTCAGTCTCATTTGGGGCAAATCAACATTTTGTGATTCTGAAGCCGTTTGGGGAGTTGTCCTTAAGAAAAAGAATGCTAATTATAAACACAAAGTTTGCTATAAATCTGTCTTTTAGAATGCCAATAAGTATAAATAATTACAAAAAGCTGACAAATGTCACAAATGCCATAACATTTGGAAAATAACATTTATTTGCCAATATATTTCTATAATACCATCTACATATTTTGGCTACAGGTTATTATATTACCTTTTGTAAAACAATTCTGTTATAACTTCAGTGGCTAGAATAGAAAGAAATTTAGTCTTTCTATTAATATAGTAATTAAACTTTTTTCTTCAGTTTAAAATTGTTAAACTTGCATAAACTTTTTGCTGTATTATATGAAGACTACGTTGTTTAAGCTAATAAGGGCCACCAGTGGGAGATTTGCATATTTTCTTTATCTTCTCTGAATTCAGCATGTGTAGGTAGTAGCACATTTGATGGTAGATTTTCAATTACCAGAAGGCATGGAGCATATTCCTGGAGCATCAGTTTCACTTGCTAATATACATGTAGAAACGTTCTTATATTAAGACAGATGGAAACATTAGAATACAGTGCAAAACGTATAATTTAAAGCTCAAACACCAGAGTTCATAAATCTGTAATTTTGAGCTAATAGCTTGAGACTTTTGAATCTAAGACAGTAATCCTAATTTCCATCATAGTGTTTCCATTTGTTTATAGATATTCAGTTGAATTTAGTGATTTATTTTGTCCTCTTTTTATTCCTTAACTGAAATTTAAAGTATAACTTTTTATAGAAATAAAAAGGATATACAGAAAAATGCACATACTGTAAGTGTATAGCTTGCTGAATTTTCACAAAGCAAACCCACTGGTACATCCTGAACCCAGATTAAGAAACAGAAAATTGCCGCAACCCCAGAAGTACCTCTTCTTCCTTTCCAGATGCAATCTCTGTGCTTGCCGAGGTAACTACTGCCCTGACTTCTAACAGCATGGGTTAGTGTTGCCAGCTTTTGAACTCTGTAAGTGGAAGTGTACAGTATGTACTTGTTTGGATCTGGCTTATTTTCCCCACCATTATATCTGTAAGATTCATTCATATTGCTGTAGATAGTTGAAGACCCTTCTTTCTCATTGGTATTCCATTAATGAATTGTCATTTATTTATTCCAGTATTGATAAATAATTTGTATAGTTTCCAGTTTTTGGCTGTTGTGAATAGTACCTCTATGAGCATTCTCGTACATGTCTGTTGGCAAACATTTGTATATATTTCCGTTGACTGTATCCCTAAGAGTGGAATTGTTAGGTCATATGGTATGTATATGACTGCCTTTGGTTAGATATTGCCAACAGTTGTTCAAAGTCGTGACTTACCCACAGTGTATGGAAGCTCTATTTTTGAGACAGAGTCTTGCTCTGCTGCCCAGGCTGGAGTGCAGTGGTAAGATCTCAGCTCACTGCAACCTCTGCCTCTGGGTTCTAGCAATTCTCCTGCCTCAGCCTCCTGAGTAGCTGGGGCTACAAGCGCATGCCACCACACCCAGCTAATTTTTTTTTGTATTTTAGTAGAGATAGGGTTTCACCATTTTGCCTAGGCTGGTCTCGAATTCCTGAGCTCAGGCAATCCACCGCCTCAGCTTCCCAAAATACTAGGATAACAGGCTTGAGCCACTGTGCCCGGCTAGAAATGTTTTTTTTTTTTTTTTTTTAGATATATTGCATGATTATATGAGAGTTCTCATTGTTCTACATCTTTACTAACGGTATTTTCTGTCCTTTTAATTTTTAGACTTTGTAGTACCTGTGAAAGTAGTTTCTCATTGTGGTTTTAATTTTCATCCTAGTTTATTACAGACATGTTTGAAAAGATTCTGCTACACAACTTGTTTTTTGGTATTGAGTAAACTTGTAGAATTGTCATGTTTGGAAAGATATCTATCAACTTTTTTCATTTATAAGCTTTAAGATTTCAGGGTATTTCCCGTATGTAGGAGTCTGATTGAATATGGTATGGACAGTGGAGTACCACACAACTAGATTTAAAAAAAAAAAACAAAACATAAACTCAGTGAACTAATAGGGCCTGATTTTCTTTTTTTTTTTCTTTTTCTTTTTTTTTTTTTTTTGAGACAGAGTCTTGCTCTGTCGCCAGATGCCAGGCTGGAGTGCAGTAGCATAATCTCAGCTCACTGCAACCTCTACCTCCCAGGTTCAAGCAATTCTCCTGTAGCTTAGCCTCCCAAGTAGCTTGGACTACAGGCGCACATCACCACGCCTAGCTAATTTTTGTATTTTTTGGTAGAGACGAGGTTTCACCATGTTGGCCAGGATGGTCTCGATCTCTTGACCCCGTGATCCGCCCACCTCAGCCTCCCAAAGTGCTGGGATTACAGGCGTGAGCCACCGCGCCTGGCTGGAGTGATTGTCTATGATACATAAAACAAAAACTGCAAAATGTATAGCTAGAATGATGTATATGCCTTTTGTGCATATGCATATTTGTATATCTGTCTTCGGAAAAAATAAGCAAAAGAATAAATCAAACAGAAATGAAATGAAATACCCACAACAGGAAGTAAGGGGGAATAAGTTTAAAGGGATAGGTAAGGGAGTGAGACTTAAAGCTATTTACAAAGGTAACTTTAACAACGTTTACCAGGTAGCTGTTAAACCACGTCAGTGTTTTACATATTCAAAACTTAAAATTTACAAAGATGGAAAAAACAGAAATATAAACAAAGCAAGTAGACATAGTTTATTAACAAACCACACAGAAAAATAATTCATTGAACTTGTAAACACGTTTTTCTGACTCCATACCAGATTGTAAAGGCCTACTGACCATTACTCAGTCTCTTGGTAGTTTTGATGCTATTTTGGTAGTTACAAGGCTATTCTATTGCTATTTTGATGCTATGTTGTTAGTTTTTGATGTATTCTGGGATTGAACAATGGAGAAACTATTCTGATGCTTTTGAACGTGATTCTCACTGCGGAAGAAAGAATATGTAAATATGGAAGGAAGAAAATAATATTGTCATATTGGATTTGAACTGGAGTAAACAGTGTAAATTCATGATTTAAAAAGAAATCTGATTGCCCACTGAAAAGTCTAGAAGCAATGACTTCCCAGTAAAAATGAACACACTCAGTGTAAGACCTCTCTTTCTAAATATATTTTCCATTAAAAGGAAGTAGGGTAAATGGCTTAGCAAATTGGATGATTCTGGTATTGGGGCATGAAAACTGCAAGGTGAGCGTAGAATAACCAATGTGCCAGGGAGGCAAAGAGGTGCCAAACATGTCTGGGAAGTGGCTGGGCACAGCGTTCACATCTGTAATCCCAGCACTTTGGCAGGTTGAGGTGGGTGGATCACTTGAGGTCAGGAGTTTGAGACCAGTCTGGCCAAAATGGTGAAACTTTGTGTCTACTAAAAATACAAAAACGAGCTGGACATGGTGGCAGGTGCCTGTAGTCCCAGCTACTTGGGAGACTGAGGCGAGAATTGCTTGAACCTGAGAGGTGCGGTGAGCTGAGATTGCACCACTGCACTCCAGCCTGAAGCACTCCAGACAGAGTGACACTCTGTCTCAAACAAAACAAAACAAAAAACAACCAAAAACCTCTAGGGAGTGCCAAAAGTATCTATAACTAGCTTGAAGGATCTTCCAGTAGCCAAATTTGGAACTATTTGAGTATCAAAAAGGATAATGTTAATCTTTTCCATGGAGAAATGTAACAAACTCCACTGTAACCAAGTCATCAAAATTAGAATCGCTAATTATGAAACACGCCAACCTCATGTGCCACCTGATGTGATGCAATGGAAAATACACAGTATCATCTATGTATTCTTTTTGCTACGTCTTCAGTCTGAATATGATTGTGCACATATACCAGGTAAATTGTGGCACATTTCACAAAACAACTGGCCTGGACTCTTAAATGTGAATGTGAAAGACAATGAAAGATGGCCTCTGTTCTAGAATAAAGGAGACAAAAGAGACACACCAGCTAAATGCAGTTTATGATTCTTCATTGAATCTGATGGATTGCAGGAAAAAAAAACCTAGCTAAAAAGAAAAAGGGCAATTGGGAGAAATTTGAATATGGTCTACATATGCAGTAATATTAAATCAAACTTCTCCATGTAATGGTATTGGGTTATGTAGGAGACCATCCCTCTTAGGAGATACCTGCCAAAGTACTTAGAGAAGCATTATGATATTTGTAACTTAGACTTAAATGGTTCAGTAAAAAACAAAAGTGTACACATAATATATCAGAATAAAGCAAATGTGGCAACATTTTAAGAATTCATTGTACTGTTCTTTTATCTTTCTGTAGGTTTGGAATTTTTGAAATAAGTTAGAACAGTGATTTCAGGGCATCTTAAACCAGTGACTAATCCCCATATCTCTTTAAATTAAGGATACTAATTTACCATTTTGTCATCTATGGTTCCTAATAGGAAACCTGTTAATATAACTCACAGTATTAATAAATCAAAAGAATGGTGAAAAGGCATTGATCAGTCTAAATCCTTTCTATTTTAAAAATATTTTTAAAGTAGGAAAACACAGATGATTCTTTACATATTACATTCTAAATGCCAGCATTGTGCTTTAAGGGAGCAATACCTAGAAGCATTCTCATTAAACACAAGGTCAAGAAAATAATTTCTACTGTCACTATTTTTTTTTTTTTTTTTTTTTTTTTTTTGGTGCAGTCTCTCACTCTGTCATCCAGGCTGGAATGAAGTGGCATGATCTCAGCTCACTGCAAAATCTGCCTCCGGGTTCAGCTGATACTTCTGTCTCAGCCTCCATAGTAGCTGGGATTACAGGTGCCCACCATCACACTCAGCCAATTTTTTGTATTTTTAGTAGAGATGGGGTTCACCATGTTGGCCAGGCTGATCTGGAACTCCTGACCTCAGGTGATCTGCCCTCCTTGGCCTCCCAAAGTGGTGGGATTACAGATGTGTAATCCCAGCACTTTTCATGTTTATAATTCAGTGGTAGTAACTAACATAGATAAGAAAAAAATTAGAAATACAATTTGGAAAGGAGAAGATAAATTTATTTTTTTATATAGGAATATTTAGCCAGAAAACCTGAGGGAATGAAATGAACAAACCATTACACGTAATTATTGAGATGTCCATGTAAAAAAAATTTAAGAGAATGCTGCTTCCAGAACTATAGAAAATGAGATATTCAGAAGGACTCCCTCTCGTTATGAAATGACTATGATATGTCTAGATCCTGGCTATGATGGATGCATTGCTGGGTTCACAGGAAGCGAGTGATATTTTCCAAGACCCACTCCCTCACTAAGGGGAGTACCAAACTATAAGAGTAATAAATGGAAGCAGTGAGTTTTAAGACAGCAGTGTATAAAGTTAATATGTCATGAACAAGTTGCATTTATTTAGAAATACAAAGAAGCTTAATGTTAGGAAATTCTATAAATGTTTACCATATTAACAAATGAAAAGAGAAATACCATTTGATCATTTTGACAGCAGAAAAATAATTTGACCATCAACACTCAAATATGATTAAAAGCTCTTAGCAAAGTAGGAGTAGGAACTGATAAATGGTATGTATTAAATCTTTTTATGATGATACTAAAAGCATTCTCTCTAAAAATCATGATCAAGAAAAATATAACATCGAGGCCAGGCGCGGTGGCTCACGCCTGTAATCCCAGTACTTTGGGAGGCTGAAGCAGGTGGATCACGAGGTCAAGAGATTGAGACCATCCTGACCAACATGGTGAAACTCTGTCTCTACTAAAAATACAAAAATTAGCTGGGCGTGGTGGTGGCGTGCGCCTATAATCTCAGCTACTTGGGAGACTCAGGCAGGACAATCATGTGAACCCGGGAGGCGGAGGTTGCAGTGAGCTGAGATCGCACCACTGCACTCCAGCCTGGCAACAGATCGAGACTGTCTCAAAAAAGGAAAACTGTAGCATTGAACACTGTTGGACAAGAACAACAAAGGCTATAGACTAGAAAAGCTGAAACTAAATTGTCTTTTTTGTCTTTTGTAGATGTTTATGATTATTTACCAGAAAGGTAGAGGTCATATTATACCTTACAAAAACCAAAGAGAAACCACTTCTAAGAAGATCGTTTCACAAGGTGGCTACCAGAAGAGCAATATGCAAACATCAGTTGATGTACCTCTATATACTAATTGTTATAAAGCATAATTTTTAAATCTAGCAATTTTTTTTTTTTTGAGACAGTTTTGTTCTTGTCACCCAGGCTGGAGTGCAATGGCATGATCTCGGCTCACTGCAACTTCTGCCTCCCAGGTTCAAACTATTCTCCTGCCTCAGCCTCCTAAGTAGCTGAGATTACAGGTGTGCACCACCATGCCTGGCTGAGTTTGGCATTTTTAATAGAGACGGGTTTCGCCGTGTTGGCCAGACAGGTCTTGAACTCAGGTAATCTACCCACCTCAGCCTCCTATATTGTTGGGATTACAGGCATGAGCCACCGTGCCAGGCCCCAACAATTTGTTAATTGACAAAATATACTCTTAGACAAAATTTTGAAGAACTTATGGAAACATCAAACAAAATATGTATAAGCCCTGTAGCAAAAACATGGACAACTTGACTGAAAGATATTACAATAAACTTAAAGTTGACAGGCAGGTGGACTTAATATTAGAAGGATACAAATTCTCTCCAGTTGAAGTATAGATTCAATGCAATTCCAGTTAAAATGGTGCTGGGCCAAATGGTATCAATGTGGGAGAAAACCACATGAAATTGGATCTGTGTTTTACTCCATATTATACAAATTCCAAATGGATTAAGCATTTAAATGTGAAAGGCTAAACTTAAAAACTTTTGGAAGGATATATTGGAAAATATATTTCTGAACTTGGGATAGGAAATAACATTTTCACAAAGGTAAACTGTAAAGAAAGTGAAGTAATAAGCCACAATCCTGCAGAAATTCTGTACTTGCAGCATTATCTGACTGGATGAGATTTCAAACTACATAAAGAATTTCTACAAGTCAGTTAAGTAAATGGAAAGATAAGCAGCTTATGGACAATGGACATTTTACAGAAGAAGCAGTTTTACAAATCATGGGAAGGCATATAAGCTGTTTGGAAAACAGGGAAATAAAAGTGAAGCCCATTGTAAGATACGATTTTGTATGTACAGGATTGGCAATAATTAAGTCTGATAACGGATTATGGGTCAATGGAAACTCATACTTCAGGGGAAAGTGGATTAGTACGATCACTTTGAGAACAATTTGGCATTATCACATGAGTTTGAATACTTGTGTAGCTGTTGACCAATAGATTTCACTGCTAGATCTAGGTCCTAAAGAAACTCGGATGTGGATACCAAGAAACCAACAGTATTCGTAGCTGTACCGTTTGCAGTAGCAAAGGCCCAGAAATGACCACATGTCCATTGTAAGGAGCCTGAGGACATTATGGTATATTCACATGATGAAATATAACACAGCAATGGAAAAGTGTGAGCCACAGCTATTCACAACTTGATATATCCAAATAACATGACATTTAATAAACCAAGTCTCAGAAAAATGATACCGTTTTATACCATCAGTACAATGGTATTAGCATTATATCAGCAAAACCAAACCGTACAGAAGAATTCACATGTACAATGTTATGTCACTTTTATAAATAATAGGGATGATATACACAAAACTGGTGGTGGTTTCTTTGGGGGTTAGGGGAATAGGATGGGGCCAGCAGACAAGTAGAGCCATTAATATTAGCAATGTTGTGGCCTTCAGAAGGGGGCAGGTTCCCAGCGTGTGCCTGTTACATTTTATTAGGTATAGGGTCCAGATACCCTTCTGAAGTCAAATGTCATGATAATGATGAAGGAAAAAATGTGAAATAGCTTCTGTATATAAAGAGTAATCTGTTAGAGTTAATATAATAAGGGAACTTCTTAGATAAAATGCTAGGAATAAATCTCTTGGGCAATGTGCAG